CCAACAATGAATGATATTGATACATAGAACAGTAATAAACATCCACGGCGGAGCCTTCATGCTCGGCAACTCACGTATGGTCTCCATCCCCCAAATCGAGGACTGTCTATCCCGGGGCTGGATCGTCGTGGTCCCCAACCACCGTCTCTGTCCCGGGGTGAATATCCTCGAAGGCCCGATAGAGGATTGTCGAGATCTCTTGGCGTGGGTGTATGATGGCAGTCTGGAAGGGCTTTTACGCGATCAGGGGGTTGAAACGTTGAGAGTCGATACAGAGAGGGTTATGGCATTCGGGACAAGTAGTGGAGGGTTTTTGGCGTTGAGTTTGGTAAGTTTCCCTCACTGCCCCCTTGTTCTCTTTGAGTCATCTATATATAGTTGAGTTCATATGCTAATGAGGAACCGATATAGGGCTACGACGTCCCCAAACCACCAAAAGCAATTCTTGATTTCTACGGTGCAGTCCATTTCACGCATCCCTTCTGGACTGCGCCCCTCCCTCACGTGGCTGAGAAGTTGCCCCCAGGTCTGTACCCGGAGTTCATGGACAGAGTTTACGAGGAGGATCCAGTCCCCACGGATAGTTCTATCTCGCTCGAGGGCCAGACGGAGTCTGGACGGGCTAAGGGGCCGGATTTTTCGCGGCCGCGGGATGCATTTGCGTTTATGCAGATTGCGAATGGGCGGGTGTTGAGCGCCTGTTTCCCTGGGCGGGATGTGAGGGAGATTGATCCTGTGTGCTGCGTTCGGGAGGGGTTTCCTGCTACGTGTGTTGTGCATGGACTTGAGGATCGGATGGTTCCGATTTGTTTGAGTAGGGAGTTGGTGAGAGTTCTTGGGGAGAAGGGGGTGGAGTGTGAAATGGTGGAGGTTCCGGGGGAGGATCATACGTTTGCGATGGGAATGGAGGTTGGGTCAAGGACTTGGGAGATACAGAGAAAGGGATTTGATTTCTTGGAGAGGATTATTGGTCGAGAGTAAATTCTTATTGGGGTAGAGGAAATGAGATGCTGTATTGTATTGGTGATGTTCTGGCCTGCCAGTTGCATACACCGGAATATTAGGACTAATGAGTGTCGAGGTCACCAGCCTGGAAATCAAAAACTCCATCCATGCAAACTCGTATACCCAGTATACTCCCATTACATCTCAATGCTGAACCGCTGAACCCAAATAATGAATCGCTGATCACTGTCGTAGTTCGTCGTGTCTCATGGCCGGCATCGACAGCCCTAGCTCAGTACTAGGGGCACAAATGAGTAAACCGAAAGAAAAAAGCAGGAAGAAGGGAAAGATTGCGTGAGATGTTTGAACTAGTAGAACGTAAAGAGGAAGGAGGAGGTATGCGTTGAATAAAGGCCCGGAGAATCGAATTGTCGTCGGCAGAATAGGTGAATTGGTCGCGTGAGTTTTCATGGTGACTGCAATTGCAGTTGCCTCCAAGACCTGACACATCACAGACAAGTCAAAATGCAACGTAGGTTGGGCATTGCAATTGACATATCTTATCGACGTCAAAATCCCTTGCTGGAATAGCCAGAATCGGGCCAATTGCAGCCCTTAGGCGTAGATCCACCCCGTCGTGCGGCATGCTTTTCGCATGCATATCCGACGAGGACAACCTTCTCCTGCACCACATGGCCTCGTTGGCCATATGCTTCACACGGGTCAACCGCGTGTTGGAAATAAAGGCAACCGCAGACCGAAAACCGCTCTACCACTTTGAAACACATGGTAGATGATCTCGGGGTTTGTAAGTTATAATGATAAAGAGAGGGTGGGTTGGCGTCCAGCGAGATGCAACAACGAACTTAAGTCGCCTGTCAAAGAGCGACTCGAACATAAAAGGACAAGGAAAAGTCAAGAGAATGTTGCCGATAGTTGGCTAAACTGGGAAAGGGAGATGCTAAAGTTCGATCATTTATAAAACTGACGTTCAGGCGACCAGACCATCATAGAACACAATGGAGACGCAACACGGAGCAACTGGAGACAGAAGCAAGTCTCATGTCTCCTATCCAAGCCGCTTAGAGAGTCAAACACCGACAGATGCAAGGCATCCGTCAAAATTAACGGTCGTTCATTGCCCGAAGAAAACGTGTATCGCGACTAGGGCAAGAGGTGCTAAAAAAAAAAAAAAAAAAAAAAGAGCCAAGTGAGGAAAAAATAGTTGGACCCAGTCTATCGGGCAAGGTTAGTACCATCCATAGTGGTTATGCTCCAATCCACGTAGGGCCGACGACGGACGACGCCGAGCCCTAGTCGATCAGTGGGGTTCGGGCTGAGTCCTTCAAGTTTCAATTCAGAGCAAGCCAGACCCGAAACTTCAGATTGTAGACACATGCCTCTGACTAACGCAATTGTTGCAGAAGGTAATTCTGCGATGACAGCTGATACTCATTGCAAACATGACCCCAACCGGGCATGGTTATCCACTTTTGATGGAACCGTTGGAGCCAAGACCGCAACAGTTTTGCAAACCCCTGCCAGTTTGACAGGATAGCGCGGGCCTTTGCAAGCGCACGTCCTCCTGTCGCAGGGGTTTTTCAGCTGGTCTGTCTAAAGGCACTAATATAGAATAGACATTCCTCTTCTCCTAAGGCCGAGGAGAGAATGGGGCGGTCAGGGCACGGAGCGAATCAAGTCCAAGGTGACAAACCGGGCAACTTGTAGAGTGCTCCTTCCAAGGTCTAACGGAGATTAGTTCCATGCACGAGAGGACGGAGGAAACCGGTGGATTGACACAAGGCTGACTGGTTAGTGGAGAGAACGCAGCTGGACGGTTGCCCATCAAGCCTATCACCGTATTGCGTTTCGCTGGCGGGGTCACTGGACCAGAGGATGGCCTGAGTCATGGACCCTCATTGGCCAATCACCGTGCCCCGTCGCCAGGCAGCCATTTCTGGCCTGATCCCCTTAAGGACCTTTGCAGCATGCCCTACGAGCCCTAGCCATGGTACGACTGGTCTGTTCTATCTTTAAGTTAGTTCCTGTGTCAGGTTTATGCGGTGACTCAACGGAGTTGGTAGACACTAGTAAGTTAGTAACCTCTTCAGCTGAGGCTCTTGTCTCTTACCTTTAAGCCTCTTGCAGCAATTTTTGAGACATTAGACTCGGTTTCACAATTACCGTTGCCGATGTACCCGAACTATTGATCAAAGTGCTTGTCATTCGAAAGCCAAGGTCTTTTTAACTTGCATTAAGCCGACCGCGAGTCTGTGTCAGCCTTCATTCCCACTCTTGCTGAGTCAAATTGTTATGACGGTTCAAAAGTATCTTGTGTTCAATTAGGACCATCCCTCGAGCCGCCCACAGCTGAAGACGATACTAGTAGAACCTGATCCTTCATCCTGTTTCTTGTAGAACCCATGCATACATGACAACCTAAAGGAGCTAAAAGAAAATTACCACCTCAAGCGCTAGATATAGAAGAAGGTCAATGAATGAGCTAATCTATAGCAATACATGCCTCTATTACAGTGTCTGCTCCCTGTATCGCAGCAAAGCATCGTCGATAAACCCCAAAGGCAGAATCATTATGTGTCATGCCAGATTCCAGGTGCACGGTGGGTGATCAACACCACCCAAAGTCAGAAGTAAAGCAATGAATACAAACACTTCAGAGATGTTCCCCTTTGTAGTCAAAGCAAGTAAGGACACCATCTTCAACAGTCACGTTTTGTTTTTGCCAGAATGCTATTGTGGTTAGCTGGAAAGCGACTGATTTATATATATATGAAGGCAACACCTACTCAGTCTTGTCCATTTGGAGTTATCGGGGTTGTCTGTGTAGACGAAGCAACCTAGTTCCTTCAATCCGGGATCGTTCCCGTCACGCAATATGCATTTTTCAATGTGGGTTTTACTTTGGTAGTTTAGTCAAGCCCATCCAAGTTGGAATTCAATACATACTCGTCTTCATTTCCCGTTTTGATGGCGCAACATGGTTTGAGGTCCAACTTAGTGGTAACTTTGTTTCCAGCTCCATCTTCGCATGTTGCAATGAAGAAGGACGGTGTTTCCTCATCAACGTAATATTTGGTGCAGCGGGGCCACCACCAACTTCGCCAATTCTTAATCTTGTCATCATAATCGCTGCCGCTAGCAGGCAATGCTAGTAGCGGTAAAATCAAGACACCGAGATGGGGACGCATGACCCTTCAGAATTGCCAACAATGATCAATATTTAATCCGAAGATACAAGTTTGGACGTGGCCATGCTGGCTCTACTTATATAATTATTGGTCATCTGAGATAGTTCTTTTGTACAGATTCTGGTGCCTTTCTCTGTATACGATTGATCCCCTTGTATCTTCCTTGTTATGTTGCAGATGATACATACAACCGTCCTCCCAAGCCAATTAAATGCAGTGTTAATATCTTTCAGGGGGGCCACAAAGCATATAGAAAGAGATGATCCTTACACTTCTAATAGATTCATAATTTTTTCTCATCCTCTCAACGCCCTTGTGATGTTATAGATAGTTTGGGACTTATTGAGATGGTTTGGGGGGTTGTAGGTCACAATGAATAAAAGGACATCCATTCAAGTCATTTACTCTGGTGGAATATCTCTTTCAGATGATACAGGTTGTGTGTCAGGATGATGACACTTCTAACTTGATAAATAGATGTGTGACACTAATGAAGCAAAACAAGGAGATCAGGAGAAGTTGGGCATGAGGGCACATAAAATAGTGTATAGAAAGAGACTTATGCCTCTAGTGTCATCTGCATGAGAATCAGTGTGATGAATAAATATCAACCCCTTGGCTATTAGGGCATAGCAGCTCTCACCAGTATTTCCTTCCATCCAAAACAAAGCTTTCTCTTCTAATTCCTAAGATTGACACAGAATATATGCCACAAAAGCCACCCTATCATTGACATTTTATGGGGAAACAATATTGCATAGTCACGGATATGTTTACTGCACCTACTGGTATCTCGGCCAGCTTACGGGCCAACGGAGTGATGAGGCCAACTCTTGTTATGTATTAGAGTATATGAAAGTTCTGTCCCAGGCCTAGTAGGTAATACAAAATAGTCACATTCATCTTGATAAGGTTCAATTTTGTAGAACATGCCCCGGTGCTTGACTTCAGCTATGAAAGATTCAGAATGTCCAAGCAATTGTGAGAAATACTCAATACCCGACATGTCTTTAATTATATTCGCGATCGAACTGAGCAACTCTAGTATACATAGAACAACGTGGGGCTCCATATGGTGACATGAACGCTAGAATAAATCAACTTAAGGCCTGTAATGGGCCGGAAATAATCCCGGTAAAACAGCACATGTGGAAAACAGCCCGGCTTTCAATGCTATATATGGCGGTTCTAGTGTTGTTTATTGAGGAAAAATAGAAAACTGCCGATTACGGCCAGTCACCATGCATAACACTTGATGCAATAGCAATCTATCAACCAGGCACTTTCTGATGTTCCAATGCTGTGGACGTACACTGGGTAATGTGCAAGACTAAGACCAGGTTCTCCAGACACGGCAGTAGTTTACAAATTACTACCGATCGCATTAACGGTGAGAGTCCCATGGTAGGGTTCACTCTGGTAGTTCTTGAATGTCAAGATAGCAGCCCCCTTGAGGTTTGTCGTCGGCATTTTATAAATGCCATCCACGAACATATCCTTCCTGGCATATAATACCAAGCAGGCACCCTATGTTCTGACATCCACTCCAGGACCTATCCCCAATGGATGCTCGATAAGTCCCGATGATAATAAACCAGTCTGCGATTGGAGGGAACCCATATCTCGCGTGGTGCTGGAAGTTGAATTCAATGATTTCGTCAACGCTCTGTAACGCTACCTGGTACGGGTTGGATTGTCGTGCTATGCAACCAGTTGGCCGATTCCTGTAAGCCGGAATACATGAGCACATAGTAATTATGTTAAGCCCGAAGTCTGTACACATGCAACTAAATACTGCCACGTCGATGGAACCATGCTCTCCTTGGG